AAAACGAGTTGAAGCGATATTTATAATTTGCATGTAATGATGTTCTTGCTCTTCGTACAGGTTTCATTTGATTTATTGGAGAAATACTTGGAAGAGCATTCTGAAGCATCAAGCTGGGGAAAAGGAGCTCCTGGTTTCAGAGAAAATGCTTTGTTCCAAGACTACCATGGATTAAAATCTTTCCGGCAGGCTATGGCGAATTTCATGGAGCAAATTAGAGGATGGAGAGCAAAATTCGACCCTGATAGAATCGTTTTAACTGCCGGTGCAACCGCAGCTAATGAGCTTTTAACTTTCATTTTAGCAGATCCTGGCGATGCTTTGCTGGTTCCAACTCCATACTATCCAGGGTAGGAAGGAGTTCAGATTATAGCAATTCCATGTTCCAAGCTCCATTTATGTGTAAAATACCAGTGCTGATTTGGAACCCTTTTTTTCCCGTTCAGATTCGACAGAGATCTGAGGTGGAGAACCGGTGTGAAAATTGTTCCAATCCATTGCAATAGCTCAAACAATTTTCAAGTTACACCGGAAGCCATGGAAGCTGCATATCGATGCGCAGAATCCATGAGCTTGAACGTTCGAGGAATACTGATAACAAACCCATCGAACCCTTTAGGTGCAACAATCCAAAGAGCAGTCCTGGAACAGATTCTGGATTTCGCAACAAACAAAAACATACACCTTGTCTCGGACGAAATCTACTCTGGGTCAACATTCTCATCATCCGAGTTCATCAGCATTGCTGAAGTCCTCGAAACTCGTGGCTACAAAGACTCCGAGAGAGTCCACATCGTTTACAGCCTCTCTAAAGATCTCGGCCTCCCCGGTTTTCGAGTCGGGACAATATATTCTTACAACGACAAGGTTGTCACCACGGCCAGGAGGATGTCGAGCTTCACTTTGATTTCATCTCAAACACAGCATCTATTGGCTTGCATGTTGTCCAACAAGGAATTCACCGAGAACTACTTAAAGACGAACCGAGAGAGGTTAACCATGAGATACGATATGATCATCAAAGGGTTGAAAAATGCCGGTATCGAGTGCTTGAAAGGCAATGCCGGGTTGTTTTGCTGGATGAATCTGAGCCCATTGTTAGAACAACCCACGAGAGAAAGCGAATTGGCTCTTTGGAATATCATATTGAACGAAGTTAGACTAAATATATCGCCCGGATCTTCGTGCCATTGCTCTGAACCAGGTTGGTTCCGGGTCTGTTTTGCAAACATGAGCGAGGAGACACTTAAAGTTGCACTTGAAAGAATACATAAATTCATGGAACAAAGAAGAAGAAACTAGACTTAGTATATGTGTCTATAATATCCGTAAATAACCAGTTTTTTGGTGGGGTTTTCAACTTGTAATACCCATTTAGATTCTTTGGACGACACGATAGCCTGGGTTTTATGTCTTGTATAAAAGCAAATTAAAACCGGTTTTGATATGTTCTTGTTTAGGTGGAAGGTGATGTTATATGATCATATCCCACTTTGTTTTCTTGCTTATGGTGAAGCAAGTTCCCTCGACATTCTTCCATTTGTATAATTTGGAAGCACTTTGTGATATTTGTATTATATGTTTGATTATTACAACTTTTATATTGCATTTGACTTTGGTCATTATTTAATTCAAGCAGGAAATATGATGGAGTTGCTTTCTTAAATCACATCTAATTAAGACACAATCAAGGTTTTCTGTTTCAATAACTGAAAAATTACTTAACCAAATTGGATACCAACTACCAACCAAATAATGAAAGTAAATTCAGACAAAAAGTTATATTAAATAGGTTTGACAAATGAATTATTCATAATCGAATAAGATTAATTTAAATTGCATTAGATCTTGGACAAAACTATTTAAATTTTGAATTAATTTAATTCTATTATTATTTAATCTAATAAAAATAATATTTAAATTCATTATAATTATTTTGACTTGTAGAAGTTTGGCTGGACAGCGTTGTGAAGAAATGAGTTATGGATACTAAAATCAGATCCAATAAAAGCAAAAATGAATAAAAAGATGGAAAGGTCAAATACTTTACTTATAGTTCACACTATTCAAGTATAAAATGATAACAAAAAAGTTCTACACTCCATCTTGAAACTGGAGCAATTCTATTTTAATACTACTATATCATTAATTTCTCCAGTATTTATCGATAAATATGTACCCAGAACTTGTCATTAAAAATTATTTATTTATTTTAAATGATAAAAAAATGTCAAAATAAATAAAATTTTAAAGTTGATTTTAAAAAACAACAACAACATCGTTATGTTATCAAACATATTAATACCATTTTTATGCTAAGCTAATGCTACATCGTTCTCTATTTTTTTTTGGATAATTCGATTTTATTACCCAAAGATCTGTATAAAAACAGATTGTTCAAGAATACAAACAGTATCTACTTACATCAGAACAGAATATCAGCTATTCAATACCCCAATGATTACAAAGCATAATATTAACACTATCATTCCTATTAATTCTTCTACCCCTTAGTTGGATAGCAACAGTGTGTTTTACAGCATGGAGTAATGCTTCAAAATTTCGTGAGCATCCCTGGAATAGCCTCTTGTTCCTCTCCTCCCAAACAGTGTAAATAAATGTTGTCCAAGCTAATTTCAAAATTGTAGTGAGCAAGGATCTACCTTTCCAAGCATCACAAGCCCAAGCTAAGTGATTTCCCCATGTACGTGATGTCCTTCGCATGCCATTGAGGATGATAACCGCATCCCATAGAGAAATAGCCAGAGGACATTGAATGAATAAATGATCTCTAGTTTCAATCGAGTCATTACAAAGCACACATTTGTCATCGATATCAAACCCAAAACGTTTCAGTCTGTCTTTAGTTGGGAGTCTGTCTAATAAGGCCATCCATGCAATAATACTAAACTTAGGAATATGGAGAGGGAACCAAATCAGTTTGTGCCACACCACTTTTGCCCCTTTGTTTCGAATCAATAGCCAAATATCCTTAATTTTCTGCACACCAGATGTTAGCACATGGAAAGTTTGGAGTCTCATTTTAAGTAAGCGTCAAAAGCTCCAAGTAGTATTAATAGAATCGTTCTCTATTAGGGCAAGCAAACCATGCAAAAAAGAACATTCATATTATGCATAAGACGTGACACCTTCAATTTCATACTTATTGATAAGCGTTGATTCTTCGCCTACGAAGAAAACCAGTCATAAGCCTTCCTCCCCTATAAGCAAATGAAATTTTAAGAAATATAAAACTAATCAACTTCTAAATCAGCTAAGTAAAAACCAAAAATATTTAATATTATGAAAGTGCATTAGTTGCCTTTATCATTCACCACATTCTATTCGAAATGATTAAGTTAGTTGTGGTTTGGAAGATCAAAATACTTGCATTATTTGTCACAATCGAAGAAAAAAAAAGGTTGTCCCTTATTCCCATATGTAATAAGGTAAGATAGTAGGCTACCCCCAACACCAGGTTGAGAGCAGTTTCCGTAAAAAACCTCTGAATTATGAAATGTCCGCATCATTTTTCATATTAATGGACCGTCGGTATTAAGAATCATACTGTTTAGTGTGTAAATTAGAATAATCAACCAAGATTTTTGGGATTGATTGCATCTTATCGTTTTCGGAGATTAGACTCTAATTATTTTGTTTATTATCTCTACGTGTTAATCAAACCATCTCATCCCAAAAATAATATTTTGTGTGCCCTTTTTGCATGAATTAAGGGATTTTATGAACTTCAACTGTCATTAATTATATTAATTTTACACCGATTAAGATCATATAAATAAAGAATATTATTATTCGAATTTAAGAAAATACAATAATTTAATTTTAAAAATGGGTTTGCATACATACGTTGCCTCACGTGTGAAACATTGTTGGTGACAATTTGAATAATATCCAAAGTCAAAAATCAATCAATCACCAACAGCGATTGGACCAGAGTCGGTTGAGAACAGCCCACGTGGCACACAAGTCAATAAAATGTCGTATAAGCACAACATTTAATTTTATTGAACGATCAATATGAATGCCATTATCTTCCAATAACATTTTTATATATTTTAGTATTAATAATATATTATTACAAGTTAAATGACATCATTTAATCTACTAATAAAATTACAGAGTTAAATGAATCATGAAAGAAGTCCATCCCCTCTCAATTTTTTAGTTTAATTTAATTTTAATTCCTTAAATATTTAAATGCTAATAAAATTATTTATTTGGTGTTTTATTAATCTAATAATTAGAGTCGACCTCAATGTTTTTAAATAGATTAAAATGAGTAATATAATGATATTTGGAATTTCAAATTGAATTAAAAAATATAATGATAAAATTAATTCTAGCGCTCAACAAATGGTCATTTTCTTCTTCTTTTATTTTTTTAAAGATTTTAGTCCTCAATATGTACACAAATGATCAATTTATCCTATATTCTTTATTTTGAAACATTTTAAGCCTTAACGTTTCAACTTTTAATCAAAATAATCAATACTAAATTAAAACCGTTACTTGATTAACTATCGACACATATTATTAACGTGATATTTTTATATATTTATTTAATAATATAACACACATTATATAATATTTTTTTGTGACATGATACATATCACATTATTATTTGAAGTGACATGACATATGTTACATAATTTACGTCAATATTTTAAATGATATGATATATTTTATGTCAAAATTTTAAGTGACGTAACACTTATCACGTCATCAATTAAACATGTGAAATTACTATAGGAGCAATATGTGTTGATTAGTAGTCAATTAAAAATTTGTATCCTATTCGAATTATTTTGACTAAAAATTTAAACATTAAAGATTGAAATAAACAATTTTATGGAAATTGTAAGACGGACCTTGTAAATTACATAAATTAAAATTCGTACCGCCTCTAAAAATAAAACAATTATTTGAAATTGCAAAACGACCCTTTGAATTTTCTTAAATTAAAATCTAACCTCATATAAATCCCAAAGGATCATCGATGCTCTGATCCCGCAAAACGCTTTATCAGTCTATCGCTCTTCTTTCTAAGATAAGCAGCGGGAGAAGCAAGACGAGTACCCTCACGTCTTAGCCGTCAACCCATATCTTTCTTTGCTCAAAACAACGTAAGATTCCCTTCTTCTGAGTAGATATACAGTGTATTTGGTTTCTAAATCTTTTACAATTCTCTTTATATCCTCATATCTATTGATTCTAAAGCTCGTCGCTATTTATCGTTATGCTGTCGATTGTATTCTTTTATTTCCGCCGTTGATTGCTTGTAATGTTATTTTTTAGGGTTTGGTTAGCTGATTTTATGTTCTTTCTACTTGCGACTTGTATATAAGCCATTTTTCGGGGAAAACAACATTTTTATTAGAATTGGTTTTATATTTATACATGGTGCAGATTTTGATGGCGTCAAAGCTGCTTCAGTTTCCTAAGGCCTCTGAAGCGTCTAAGCTTGTAGCCAAGCATGGAACTTCTTACTACAAGCAGTTGTTGGAGCAGAACAAGCAATACATTCAGGAGCCACCAACAGTTGAAAAGTGCAGCGAGTTGTCTAAGCATCTCTTTTACACCCGCCTTGCTAGGTATTTTTACTTGCCTTTTGATATTGGCGCATACTTCCTTGAAGGCATTTAAGTTTCTATAATCGATTACAATGTTTTTTCAGTACATGGATTTTCTTTTTCCTTCCTTGCCACAATGTATCGTTGTATTTTGGTTACCTTTGCAAGTTAGTCAACTTGCCTGCATCAGAATTGGATTCTGAAATGTATCTTAACATGTTTATGTATTCGTTGTGCCTACGTTAATCATAAAAAAAAAACTTGATATTTGTCAGCAAAATTGATTGCAAGTTTATAGTATTCTATTCCACCTATCAAAGGTTTTGAGCAAGGTAGAAAAAGACGGCGAGATGCTGACTTATATCATGTGTTCAGACTTCAGATGTCAAAACTTATGTCTTAAGTTTCCTGTTTTTAACTGATTGAGTGAGTGAGTATTTGGTTCTGTTATATGTGGCAACATATGAAATTTTATATGTAATTTCAGTTTTGAAAGCGAAAGCTTGCGGCTGTGACGTCTTTGGTCATGCGATTTTAAGTTGTCCATATGAAATGAAAATATTGTGGTTATTAGTAGATATTTAGATATATCAATAATGTTTATTGGCATGTTAGATACTATGCATGGCATTATTAATTCGTTGTGCATTGATGTTGTTGTTTCTCTGGCTGCAAAAATTATTGTTTTGGATGGTCTTTTTGAGAGAAAATGTGTCAATATGACAACTTATATATAATGAAAGGAAGCACAATTCTTGCCGTTGAAGTTGAAAGACCTTGGATGACCTTTGGGTGGTTTATTGTTATTAAAATAGGGGTAGAATTCATTTTTACTCCATGGAGAATGGAGAAACCATTTTCTGGATAATTCCTTGGAAAAATATATAATTTTGTTACTCTATTTCAGTGTGTGGCTCATGTTTGGGAGTTCTCTAGATTCATCTGCAGGGCAGGACCGAATGCAAGCTGCCTTACAACTTACTAGGAAACTATTGGGTTCACTAGAACAAAATAATAAGACTGCATTTTCTCTAGTATTCTTGTAATTTATATGACTGTTTGTGATGTGCTATGAACTGTTGAAATGGCAAAGCTTGGAAAATTGGTTCAAGTTAGGCACCTAATATTGCAATGTCAAAATTAGATGCAACAATGTCAAAATTAGGTGCAATAATGTTTGAAAATTAAATGGGTAAATTATAAACTTTAGTCACTAAACTTTAGGGCATTTATAAGATTAGTCCTTAAGTTTCAACTATAAATACCCTAGCTCATTTAGTTTCAAAATCATCCCAAAAGCATTCTAGCTTTCTTCCAATACTAGAGAGATTTTAGAGAGTTTTTTGAGAGTTGTTTTCTCCTTTTTATCTAGAGAGAATTATCATTTTTTTCTGCTTGGTAGATCGAGAGAGGTTGTAATTCCTATTTTCTCATAGTGAAATTCTTCTACCGTTGCCCGTGGTTTTTACCATAAATTTTTAGGGGTTTTTCACGTAAATTTTGTGTATATTTTAACTTCATTTTTATTTTCTCAAATTATCAGTTGCGATTTTGCTCTATCCGATAGCCGTCTTCCGCAACAATTGGTATCCGAGCTAGATTAGAGTGTGTAATATATGCTTATTGTCTTTGTGGTTGCCACCAAAAGCTGGATCCTCAAACATAAGAAAATAAGAAGTTATTACCCATTCTTTGAAGGTTCCAGAGAACTATTCACGATAGTGAAATAGTGGGAGCTATCCGTAGAAGAAGCTATGGCAACGAAATTTGATATTGAAAAATTCAATGGGAGAAATTTTTCATTGTGGAAATTGAAGATGAAGGCCATCCTAAGGAAAGACGGGTGTCTAGTGGCTATCAATGAAAGATCGGTGGATTTCGCAGATGACATCAAATAGAACGAGATGGACGGGAATGCTATGGCAATCTTTCATCTAGCATTAGCAGATGAAGTATTGTCAAGCATCGAGGAGAAGAAGACAACTAAGGAGATATGAGATCATCTCATCAAATTGTACGAGGCCACATCACTGCACAATAAAATTTTCCTTAAGAGAAAATTGTACACTCTCCGTATGCCAGAATCTACTTTAGTGACGGAGCACTTAAATACACTGAACACTTTATTTTATCAGCTTACATCCTTAAGCTGTAAAATAGGAGAACAAGAACGTGCTGAACTTCTACTTCAAAGTCTACCGGATTCATATGATCAACTCATCATCAACTTGACAAACAGTAATGTCACCAGTCTAGTCTTCGATGACATTGCAGCTGCTGTTCTACAAGAAGAAAATAGGCGCAAGAACAAGGAAGACAGACAAGTAAATCTGCAACAAGCAGAAGCGTTGACAACGATGACAACGATGAGAGGGAGATCAACAGAACGTGGCGAAAGCAGCAGTCACAAACATGGTAGATCGAAGTCGAGAAGCAAGAAGAATTTAAAGTGTTACAACTGTAGAAAGAAGGGTCACTTGAAGAAGGATTGTTGGAGTCTAAATAAAAACTCCAATCCACAAGGCAATACCGCAAACACTTCAGATGATGAAGATGCTCTATGCTGTGAAGCGTCAACCACCGTGGAAGGCAGAAAAAAATTTGCAGATATATGGCTCATTGATTCGGGAGCGACATATCACATGACCTCAAGAAGAGAATGGTTCCATCATTATGAACATGTCTTAGGAGGATATGTGTATAGTTGCAATGATCATGCCTTAGAGATCGTTGGTGTGGGAACCATCAAATTGAAGATGTATGATAGAACAATTAAAGTTGTTCGAGATGTACGACACGTGAAAAGCCTGAAGAAAAATTTATTATCCTACGGATTGTTGGATATTAATGCAAGCAAGATTGAGACACAGAAAGGAATCATGAAGGTGTTCCGTAGAGCGCTTGTGGTGCTAAAAGGCGAAAAGATAGCAGCAAACTTGTACATGCTGAAGGGAGAGACTTTGCTAGAAGCAGAAGCCTCTGTTGCCTCATGTAGTTCAGATTCGGCAATGCTATGGTATCAGAAACTTGGACACATGTCAGAACAAGGAATGAAAGTCCTTGTGGAGCAAAAGCTACTTCCAGGCTTAACAAAGGTATCACTTCCTTTGTGTGAGAATTGCATAACAAGTAAGCAGCACCGGTTGAAATTCAACACATCAAATTCTAGAGGCAAAAGTGTTCTAGAATTGGTTCACTCTGACGTATGGCAAGCACCAGTAACGTCCCTAGGTGGAGCAAAATACTTTGTCTCATTTATTGATGACTACTCCAGGAGATGTTGGGTGCACCCTATTAAGAAGAAGTCAGACGTGTTTTCAACTTTCAAAAACTTCAAAGCGCGGGTGGAACTTGATTCTGGAAATAAGATCAAGTGTTTCAGAACAGATAATGGAGGAGAATACACAAGCGAAGAATTTGATGACTTTTGCAGGAAAGAAGGCATCAAAAGACAGTTCACAATGGCGAACATTCCTCAACAAAATGGAGTGGCAGAGCGGATGAACAGAACCTTGTTAAAAAGAACAATAGCAATGTTGAGGGATGCAGACCTAGAAAAATCATTCTGGGCAGAAGCAGTCAATACCTCCTGTTATTTGGTGAATCGAGCTCCATCAACTGCAATAGAGCTGAAGACATCAATGGAGATGTGGACTGGTAAACCAGTTGATTATTAAAACCTCCATGTATTTGGAAGTATTGTGTACGTGATGTACAACGCCCAAGAAATTTCAAAGCTGGATCCAAAATCCAGGAAATGCAAATTCTTGGGGTATGCTGATGGAGTAAAGGGGTATCGCTTGTGGGATCCCACTGCCCGCAAAGTGATCAATAGCAGGGATGCTATCTTTGTAGAAGATAAACTACAAAGAAAAGAAGACGATGATAGCGCTGAAAAGTCAGAGACTACTCAGATACATGTGGAAAAAGAGTTTGAAGAAAGAGATTTTTCTGAAGCAGAACAAGCACATGATGAACAAGAACCAGAGAGTTCTGAAGCTCCAACAACTCGTCAATCAGATTGTGTGAGAAGACGTCCCAATTGGCACTCAGATTATGGTATAGAAGGTAATATTGTATACTGCCTTTTAACAGAGGACGGTGAGCCATCAACATACCAGGAGGCAATAAACAGCTCAGATGCTTCACTATGGATGATGGCGATGCAAGAAGAAATCGAAGCCCTTCATAAAAATAATACATGGGACCTTGTGCCACTACCACAAGGAAGGAAGCCAATTGGTAACAAATGGGTTTTCAAAATCAAGCGAAATGGTGACGATCAAGTGGAGAGGTATCGTGCAAGACTGGTGGTCAAAGGATATGCTCAGAAAGAAGATATTGATTTCAATGAAATTTTTTCTCCTGTGGTTCGACTAACAACAGTTCGAGTAGTCTTGGCAATGTGTGCTACATTGAATTTACATTTGAACAGCTAGATGTTAAAACATCTTTTCTTCATGGAAATCTTGAAGAAGATATTTATATGCTCCAGCCTGAAGGTTTTGAAGAAGACGAAAAGAAGAACTTGGTTTGCAGGTTAAACAAATCTCTGTACGGTCTAAAGCAGGCGCCGAGGTGTTGGTATAAGAGATTTGATTCCTTCATTATGTGTCTTGGATATAACAGACTTAATGCAAACCCTTGTGATTATTTCAAGAGGTCTGGTGATAACGATTTTGTTATATTAATGTTGTATGTGGATGACATGTTGGTTGCAGGACCCAACAAAGATCATATTGAAGAATTGAAGGCACAACTGGTTAGGGAATTTGAAATGAAGGACTTGGGATCAGCAAACAAGATTCTAGGGATGCAAATTCACCGAGACATAAGTAATAGGAAGATTTGGCTTTCACAAAAGAATTACTTGAAAAAAAATCTTGTCACGATTTAGCATGCAAGATTGTAAGCCAATTTCTACCCCTCTTACTATTAACTTCAAATTATCCTCCAGTATGAGTCCTAGCAGTGAAGAAGAGAGGATGGAGATGTCTCGAGTACCGTATGCATCAACAGTGGGTAGTTTAATGTTCGCTATGATATGCACAAGACCAGACATTGCACAAGCAGTGGGAGTGGTTAGTCGGTACATGGCGAATCCAGGCAAAGAGCATTGAAATATTGTAAAGAGGATCCTAAGATACATCAAAGGGACTTCAAATGTTGCATTATGTTACGGAGGATCAAACTTACTAATCAATGGGTATGTAGATTCTGACTATGCATGTAACATCCCCAAAAGCCGGATCAGTGACTAAAATGTAAATTTTGGAAACTGTGTGCTCAAATTTGAAATAAGTTAAAAGTGTTGGGATTTAAGTAAAGAATTTTGATGATGGATTGAATAGCATAGATGGATAATTAAAGGGGTAATTTAGTCTTTTCAGATTAAAGGATATTTTGTATTTCCTTTAAATACAGGTGATATACGTGGGTTTTGGGAGAGTTCTGGAAGCCTTCTTCTTGCTCTCTTCTTCTTCTCGTAGCCCAGCTTAAAGGTAAGTTTGATTTTTAACTGTTAATTTCTGGAATTTATAAGTTGGTTTTGAATCTTTGGGGGTTATATAAGCTTAAGGAAAGCTTGTATAAACTTAAAACATCAAGAAGGGAGAATTAGAAAGGAATTTCTATTAAGAGATTAGAAATGAAGTTTTGATATAGAAAGGTTTTTGAAATTCTAAGGATGAATTTGACTTGTCATCAATCTAATTAAGAAGTAGGAAGTGTTAGAATTGGAATTAGAACACATTGAAAATTTGGTATGATTTTTGAATCTTATATGGAAGATAGAATTTTGAGTTTAAAGAAGTGATTATGGAGTAGAAATGAGTTTAAGTATGTGTATGAAAGTTAGGAATATTAAAGGGAATGAAGTATGATGTGTTGAGCTGAAAATGAAGGATTTTCGAGCTCAAAATATGATTTCTGGGCAAGGGGAATCGGTACCCATTCAAGGGGAACCGATACCCCTTCAAACGAACAAGAATTTCCAGTATGTCATGGGGGAACCGATACCCCCATAGGGGGAACCGATTTCCCCTAAAGGAAAATTGGGAATATGGGTTTAATAAGTTCGTTTAAGTTGCTAGTATCCAATTACAAGGTGTAGGTATCTAATGATTGTCTCGAAATGTACATTTATGTAGATTCTACGCATAAAGAATTCCGGAACGTTTGGCAAGTAAGATCGATCAAGGGGAAAGATAAGAGATTGGAATTGACTAGTGAGGCCTGGTGAGTGCATATTAATTAGTTTATGGTGCTAAATGGAAACAAGACTTGCGACAAGTCTTTTTCCTCTGTTAGAATGCATGAATATATGATTATACGTATATGAATGACATGAATTGTATGTATGCATGATTATATGTGTTAATATGCTTTTGAATGTAATGTTATGAGAAGTATGTGCTATGTAATGTATATATATGAACATATGTGAAACTGAACTATGTGACTGCATGAGAAAGATATGAGCCATATGACATGATATATGTGAACATGAGAAAACAAAGTATAAGATATGAACTATGTGATCCTATGAGAATGTGAAAGAAGCTATGAGCTTATATGGCATGTGATATGAAAGTGTATATGTGAAATGATATGAAATATATATGTGAAAACAAGTATATGTTATGAGATCAATGATTACACGTACATGTGATACGTGACTGAAAAGAAAGGATAAGTGGTTATAAGAGAAAGAATATGAATAAGTAATGTGAACTGTTATAAATGATAATGCCCATGTTATGTGATATGAGAGCTAGGGGTATAGTTGGCATGCCAAGGGTCGAGGGTTTACCTATGTTCTTCGGGACATATGGACTGTTTACCTATGTTCTTCGGGACATATGGACTGATTACCTATGTTCTTCGGAACATACGGACTGTTTACCTATGTCCTTCGGGACATATGGACTGATTACCTAGGTTCTTCGGAATCTATGGACTGGTCCTTCGGGACATTGATCGAGCTGTGGTGACAGCATATGTGTGCACAACCTCAATGTACTCACATACCTTAAGTTCTCACTAGTGTACATGAGCTAATAAAGTGATTAAACAAGCATACTGAATGTGATATGTATACGATGGGTTTATAAGTGGTTTGAAATGTGTTACGTGAACCATATGATGAATTATGTGTAGGTATGTATTTACTGTAATTAATATGATATGATTTTATACGATATGAAAAATGCATGGAATTGGTATAACATGATAGAACAGGACATGCATGTATTGATATATGTTATGAAGTACATTATAAGTTGTTATGCCTCACTAAGTCTTCGACTTAGCGTGTGATTGTTTCACACGTAGGTTTCGAGAAGAGTAAGGATTGATGCGGTGCAAGACAGGTCAGTTTTCCTTACCAAAAGATCAGATCAGAAATATTTGACAAAGTATGTATTTGTTTATGTATAAAGGGTTGGCATGTAATAAGTCATTAAGTACGAGCACTCTGATAAAGTCTGTAATTTTTTTAAATAAAGTTTTAAATTTCCCGGGATTTTTCTTAAGAGTCAAGGTTTGAAAAGTCAATGTGACACTTCGGACTCGTACCCGGGTCGGATACGGGTTGGGGGTGTTACAATGCAGGGGATTTGGATAAAAGCAAATCTACAAATCTACTACAGGTTATGTGTTCAAAGTTGCTGGTGGAGCTGTAAGCTGGGTTTCAAAATTGTAGTCAGTTGTGGCTACGTCCACAACAGAGGCAGAATATGTAGCAGCTACACAAGCCAGTAAAGAAGCAATTTGGTTGAAGATGCTATTGGAGGAGCTTGGGCACAATCAAGAGTATGTCTCTCTGTTTTGTGACAGTCAAAGCGCCTTGCATCTAGCAAGGAATCCATCATTTCATTCAAGGACTAAGCACATACGAGTTCAGTACCATTTCATTCGTGAAAAGGTGGAAGAATGAACGATAGATATATAGAAGATCCATACCAAAGACAACATAGCAGATTTCATGACGAAGGCAATCAATGCTGATAAATTTACCTGGTGCCGATCCTCTTGTGGCCTGTCAGAGATGTAAGCAACATGATGGTACAAGGTAGAAAGAATGGTGTGAAGATATGATTGTTCCAATCAAATCTTCAAGTGGGAGATTGTTGAAATGTCAAAGTTTGGAAAATTGGTTCAAGTTAGGCACCTAATATTGCAATGTCAAAATTAGGTGCAACAATGTCAAAATTAGGTGCAATAATGCTTGAAAATTAAATGGGTAAATTATAAAATTTAGTCACTAAACTTTAGGGTATTTATAAGATTAGTCCTTAAGTTTCAACTATAAATGCCCTAGCTCATTTAGCTTCAAAATCATCCCAAAAGCATTCTAGCTTTCTTCCAATACTAGAGAGATTTTAGAGAGTTTCTTGAGAGTTGTTTTCTCCTTTTTATCTAGAGAGAATTATCATTGTTTTCTCCTTGGTAGATCGAGAGAGGTTGTAATTCCTATTTTCTCATAGTGAAATTCTTCTACCGTTGCCCGTGGTTTTTACCCTAAAATTTTAGAGGTTTTCCACGTAAATTTTGTGTATATTTTAACTTCATTTTTATTTTCTCAAATTATCAGTTGCGATTTTGCTTTATCCGATAGCCGTCTTCCGCAACATGAACTTCTAACAAAATAGCAATGTGGTTGCGTTGCTTATGATTTTGCGTGATACAAAGAATAAATGATTATGCTACTTATTTATTTGTAACTTCCTTGTTCTATGCTGTGCCATTAGAAATAAATATTAGTTTACTCCATGGATGCGGTAACTCTTGCTAAAATCAGAATCACAATGGCATATCAAAATAACTTTGTTATGCAATTTGTGCAGTATCCCAGGTCGTACTAAGTCATTCTGGAAGGAGCTTGATTATGTGAAGAATCTGTGGAAGAACAGGAAAGAACTGAAGGTTGAAGATGTTGGTATTGCAGCTTTGTTTGGAATGGAGTGCTTTGCATGGTTCTGTGCGGGCGAGATAGTGGGAATGGGTTTTGCCTTCACTGGCTACTATGTCTAAGGGGCTGTTTGGTTAAGGGGATTTGGGATTACGGGGGAATGAAATGTCATTCCCCCGTTTGGTTGGCCAACATTCCCAGCCTGGTAATCTTTTATTACCAATAGTGGTATTTTGGGGTATATTACCGGCATTTTGGACTAAAATACCATTAATTTTTTTAAAAAAAATATATTTTTTCTGTCATTGAATAAAAAATTCTATGAATAAATTACAAATTTATCTTTAAACTATTTTAGATTTACAAAAAAGTCTATAATTCGAATTTTATATGAAGTTCAGGAGTTAAAATAAAATTTTACACTTTCATTAAACCTATTTATCTTTTCAATTTTAAAAAAAATTATATGAATTTTATGAATTTAAATTTTTTAAAGAAAATATATAAATTAATTATAGTAAAATTATAGTAGAATTCAAATTGTTAAAAAAACAAATATATAATGAGGACAATTTGGTAAAATATACATTTCAATAATATTTTATTCCTTTAACCAAACACTGTAATCTTACATTCTTGCTAAACGAACCAAACACAAAATACAACATTCCCGGTAATTTTATTCCTGCCGGTAATCTAATTCCCACTGGTAATCTTATATTCCGTGAACCAAACGCACCTAAGGGTGATATTTTCCAGCTGAAGGTATTTCAGGAAGTTGGATGTGAATGCCCTTATCACTGTTTACAGAACTGGATTTTGGCCAACCTTTGTTGCATATATTTTGTTGTTTTCATGAAATTTTTGAAGCCGAGAAATAAGATAGCTGATAGCCTAATAATTTTTTTTTAGTTTGGATGGCTTAAGTTGATAGAAGCCATGTTTTTCTCTTGTTTTCATCACAGAATTAACTGTACCCAAGATTGATGATAATTGTGCAAATTACTTTCAAACTTCTCTCCATTAATCTTCTATTCTGTTTCATTCCCTATTATTAATTAGCCAAACTAGCCTTGAGTCCCTAGATCTAACTAGTTTCAATGGTTCACATTTCCTTTCTTGTCGTAGCTTTTAACTAGTTGATCTGCATTGCTTCATGGTTTGCCAGAAGTGACCCTGACAAGTTTTACATTGTTTGTTTGTTACACGTATAGATGTGTTAAATTAAATGCTGCGTACTTCGAATTGTATCTAATATCAGAGTTGATTGATATTGTGGTCGACTCCAATGTAAAAACTACTTCGATCCATTTGTGGATGAAGCTGCTCTTAATTTTTCTGCTGCAATATGCTGCCTAAAGTACGGCGATAGCTCGTAGTAGTGCCCCAATTGCCCTCCGTTTAATGCTTGCACATATGAAGAATCAAAAGCTTTTGGTTTTAGCCGAAAACTGGAATGAATTAGCTAAAATTTTGTGAAAAATCAACCATTTGACAATGAACGCTTAATCACCCTTGGAGTCATTGCTGCTCGAATTCATTATCTTCTAGGGACAACAACAATTCCTTTAACTATTGAGGTAAGTTGGTTCGTGCAGCTCCCTTCCCTTATATATATAAATATAAACTTTGGAAGATATCTCCACCTAAAACTATAAATTACATATGTATGTAATTTATACCTCAATGTGGATCGCTAATTGAATCCACATAAGTGGGATCCGCAGGCCCAGTCCAATTAAGGAATTAGATATCTCCACGAGTGCCGTCTCCGTTACCCTGTCCGTGGGAACAAAATTTGGGAGGGGTGCTCCTGTAATTTCAACATTTCCTTCCGCGGGTTCGCCAGGTTCAGTAGAAAAAGTGAAAAAAACTGTTGGGCAACTCGATCCAGAAGAAACTCTCCAGGAAGATAAGGTAACCAGGCGAATATCGGATAACGAATCGGTAATTGAAATGCTGCCCTGTGCCCTTTTTCCGGCTCGGACACGTTTGGTAGCAACTTTTTCCATCTTCTTCTTCATCGTCTTCGTCAACTCCACTACCAATGATTCCCAGGTTTAGTACTTTCAAATGTCAAGACTCAAAACCCTAAACCCCCGGATTAAGTCTGAGAATTTGAACGATTGCATCCATTTTCATAAATTTGGTTCTCTCCATAAAAAAACAAATTGTTCTAACAGTAAAGTTGTATGATTCCATTGGTAAAATGTAACAGAACCTGCGTAGCCGAAAACTGTGATTGTGAGCCCCATCTTCTTCATCTCTGTAATTAAATAATTTTTTATAATCCAACTTGTTCCATTTTCTGAATTAATTGATGAAATTAGTTTCAAATCTGGAATGAAGCCGTTGGGATCCGATACGGGAAATATTGTTGGGTGGGATGGTCTGGTTGTTCAGGAGAAAAACCGTGCGACTATCTGGATGCTTGTTGCAAGATCCACGACGAGTGCTTCGAGAAAAAAGGTTCAAATTAAAAGAAAAATTCCTAGCTTTAGTACGTGTAATTGATTCAGTACTTTTTCATTGTTTTGCAATACGGAATCACAACAACAACAACAACAAAAAACCCTTGTTTTTACAGGTATGATTAACATAAATTGCCACGAGAAGTTCAAGAGTTGCATAAAGAAAGTGCAAAAATCTGGCAAGGTTGGATTTTCTTGGAATTGTCCCATTCAGATGGCTGTGCCTACCATGATGCAAGGTATGGATATGGTCATCCTATTTAGCCGATTAGGCAGCGCCCGGTATGATGAACAAACTGACAGGCATGAACAGAAAAACCAGGAAGGAGAGGCTGAAAATGTTTATAGTAACACTGCAAGGAGCGGTGATAAATACTCTCATAGTTCCTTTAAGTCAACTGCAGCTTCCTTCAATGAAGAAGCATCAGTGAATAATGAAATTGCAGATGCTTGTTCTCAAATAAACATGTCCGATGGCAGGCAGATGGAGCATTTTGCTGTACCAAGTATGAATAGAAACTCAGGCAAAAATAGGATGCAATTTGTGAATGAATTGCATGATATTAAGAATCCTCAGAATCTTGATCATCATGAAATCAGGGTCAGAGAACAATCAAGTTATTCCCCTTCTCATTGTCAATCAAACACTTTTACTGATGATCATAATGTTGTCTCTAATTTGAATTGGCAGAAATCAGAAAATGATAAGAGAGAGTCAGGTGAAAGGAGGATGCAATTTGAGAATGAACTCAGTGATACAAAGAATTCTTATGATGATCATGATGTTATATCAAATTTAAACCATCAGAAGTCTGGAAATGGTTCTGGTGAGGATTTATTTATTCTCAATGATGAAGGAAGCCATCCAAGAAGCACAAAAGAAACAACAGATTCTTTTGACAATGCCCCGGCAGTTTTTGATGATTATGGATCTGATAATTATGAAGATAATTTTAGTTTGGAGGAAGAACATAAAGTACATGAATACAACATGAACTTTCCTTCTTCAGGTCCAAAAGATCATCTACTCATCCAGTTACAACTACAAATTCTTGGGTCATTGAGCAGAAGATCAGTTCACCTGAAAAGTCTATTTCAAAATTACATATTTTCTCAGAGGATAGGCCTACAACTGCTTTCTTTGAAAGTTCAACTAGCTCTGCAATTCTTTCTAATGTGAATGACTTGCCTGCAACTTTTGATGATTATGGCCCTAGTTCGGAAAGTGAAGAAGATGTAGACAATCTAAGCATGTCAAGAGTAGCAATCCTAGTACTGATAGTGGTAAACAGAACATGGATTCCTACAATGCTGAAAGCAGTAGTTTCAATCCACGGTTGGCTGAAGGCATTGAAGATACTGAACATTCTAATGAGTCTAGTCTGGAAGAAAGTAAGGAATTGAAATTTGGAAACTTGACAGGTGGGCTTCGAAATAAGGGTTATAGGTATCCACCATATTCAAAAATTCCACAAGACAATCTGTTTTACTCTGGAGAAGCAGCCAGTGATACATCAACTAGGATTAAGCAATCATCCTCTTCCACAGCAGTGGAAGCATTGGTTAATTCCGGGTCTTACAATCAAGAGCGCACAGTAGGAAAGGGAATGATGAAGAGAGAAGAAAACTCTGGATGAGACCATCGGTTAATCAGGTTGACTCTACTGATGATGGTTCTGATAATGAACAACCAAAAGAGACTTTTAGTAGCATTGAAGGCCAATCCAACAAAATTCCAAGTTTTGAAGAAAATAAAAAGTCAAGCTTATGGGCCCCTGCCCCATATTTTGATTCTGGAAATAGTGATTCTGACGAAGATCTTCATAAAACAATTTTAAAGGCTCATTCATATACAAGTTTATCTCGAAGGACAAAGGCCTTCCCTTCAAATTCAGAGAAGTTCCAATCACAGAACTACAGTTTCCTCTGAGCCAGCAATAGCGTCTGACCACGGTAAGGAGAAGAATTTTACCTCAAGGAGTACTGATGCTGATGAAACTATTCTGAAGAGAGCCTCAGAAAAAGAACTCAGATCACCAGGAAAGTTCTCAGCATTCTCGGTTGGCATCTCAACATCAGGTGGTGCCATCAGAAAAGGAACGGCAGTCTGCTTCTGTCTGGAGGAGTAACATCAGGTGGTGCCAAAAGTTCCCAACATTCGGTGTTGGCACCCCAACCACCTTCTAGGCCATTTTCAGATGCCAAAGGCTCTTCAGTTGGTGGAACTTTGAAGTCATTAGAAAAGGGACAACAGTCTGCTCCTGTCTGGAAGAGTACAACATCAGGTGGTGCCAAAAGTTCAGAGGCTAGAATTTCAATTTCTGAGGACTTATATCACCAGGAAGTTCCCAACATTCTTGGTTGGCACCTCAACCACCTTCAAGGCCATTTCCAGAGGCCAAAGGCTCTTCAGTCGGTGGAACTTTGAAGTCATTAGAAAAGGAACAAGTCTGCTTCTGTCTGGAAGAGTACAACATCAAGTGGTGCCAAAAGTTTGAAGGCTAAAACTTCAGTTTCTGAGGACTTAGATCACCAGGAAAGTTCCCAACATTCTCAGTTGGCGCCTCAACCACCTTCAAAACCATTTTCAGAGGCCAAAGGCTCTTCAGTTGGTGGAACTTTGAAGTCATCAGAAAAGGAACTGTCTGCTCCTGTCTGGAAGAGTACGACATCAGGCGGTGCCAAAAGTTCTAAGGTTAGAACTTTAGTTGGGGAGGGATCATCCTACTCATGTTCATCCAAACCTTCCCGATTATGACACCTTGACCGCACACTTGAATTCTCTCAGACAGAATCGCGATACTTCCTACATTCTGATATGCTGTGTTATGTTATTAGTGACTTCTTTTGATTTGCATGTTATACAGATTCTTCTTTAAACTTTATAGGGATGTTATACCAACTAGAGTTGAAATATTATTTGTTTATCGTTTGATTTGCTTTCATAATCTTCTTTGATTTGGAACTTGCTGTAATGCAATAAAGCAGTTCCTTTGGGACTCTAGAGAATTAAGAGCGCAATAAGTTTCGCAGGCTGAGTCGTGTAATTCGGTATTCTTTTGGCATATAGTAGCGTGCAATATCTTCATTTCTTGTGGATGTGAATGTGGGGAGACATATCAGCCATTCAGTTGGCAGCTGAAGCCTGAATATTAATTTTAAGAGGAAGGATTTGGTGACATGATTGAATTATCGGTAATACCGAGTGTATGGCAAAGTTCGAGTAAAACGCCATAGTTAGCAGATTACCACAGGTGCAAACAATGTTAAATTCTAAAACTCAAATACGAACACTGGGAAAGCAAGGAAATTTATAGTTTGAATTTGTAGTTCAATTACTACGAAAATCAAAACATATTAGGTCATTAAACCCAAAAATGTTACATTGTATTATTCGGTCTTTAAATCATACCAAATTTAGATAGATATTGATTGAAAGTTCAGAAAGATAAACAAGTCTAATGAAAATAACCCAGAACCTGCCCACCTACATTCCTTCTAATGGCTTCTTCATTATCCAAAACACCATCTGAAGTAGAAATCAAGACATAACCCCACTGCATGTCATAAGGACAACAAACAAGGTGAGTATCAAATTAGAACAGGTCATCGTTCCATGTAGGGCTGTAAATGAGACGAGTCAGATCGCGAGCTATTCGAGATCGACTCGATCAAGGCTCGATAAATACTCGGATCGAATGGACTCGACTCGAGTTCTTAACGAGCTGAAACGAGCTACTCGATATTCGACTCGAAAAAACTCGTGAGCAGCTTGAAAATATAATATATTAAGATTTTATTTAAAAAAATAAATTAATAATAATATTAATATTTATGTATTGCTTTTTTTTTTAAAAAAATACAGTAAGATTTCATGTATTTAAGGTTCATGTTGGAGTTTGAGGCTTCAATCGAGTTAAGTGTAAGATTTTTTTTTTCATTTCGAGCCTTTTCGAGCTGCTCATGAGCTTCAGTTCAGGATTTCGAGTTCGAGTCAAGCTAGAAAATTTAAGCTCGCGAGTTTTCGAGTCAAATCGAGCTCCATTTCAGAGTTTTCGAGTCGAGTCGAGCTCTCGGCTCGTTTACACCCCTAGTTCCATGACATGAAGCTTCTACTGACATAGCTGGTATGTTTGCATTCTCTATACCAAGCAGTTTATGCTACATTAAAATGGCAATAAATAATTTAAACACCAGACAGATTTTTAACTAACCTGACGTGTTGGAAGTTTAAGTGTTTTGTATTTTTCGATATCCTTTGCTTTGATGTCCTGCCTGTAAGTGAGCGCACGACAATCATTTACCCTACCTTGCAATTCAACTGTTATCCTTCCCACTCTATGTGGATCGTGAACCTCAAAATTCTTAATGTATCCTTTCAAAACGAAAATTACAAATAAGTCAAAGACACAGCAAGAAGCAATAGATTCAAAAGTGGCAGTTGCCACAAGTCTAAATAAACAAGACGACTAGATTCACTTAAAACCATTAGGCATCAAAAGCATCTATCTATCTATATGATCAAAGACGACTAGATGCATTAGATTCATTCGCATAGCATTCATCAACACAACAAAACCTAATCTATCTATCTATCTATCTAAATTTCAAGAAACATCAAGCAACTTTCAGAACTGTTAGCTAGGTTCACTTAAACCTGACCAATTACTGAGATCAATCAACGAGAAATTAAATTAAAGCATACGCCCATGCTTATTAACCTAAATGATCAAAAGCCATAATAAAAAACGATGCATAAAAGATTTAAAAACAGAAAAAGAAGGATAAAAGTGTTCACCTCGATACTTCATGATATTAAGAAAGGAAGATATGACGGTGGAGACTGGTTTAAGTTCCACCGTCGCTTTGCCTCTCTTCTCCGCATTCACTATTTCCCTAAGCGCATCGTTCAGTATCCTCCTTCCCATCTCTATCCCTCCCTCCAACCAGTTCCAGAGCTGAAGCTGAACGGCTAAACCCCTATTTGACGGCCAAAACCTTAGTTCGAGTTAACGAAAAAGCTGTAGTTTCAATATTAATCCTTATATTATATTTACTCGAATCCGCAGATAAAAATAAATAATTAAATAAAAAACTGTAAAAATGAGAAAACACATTTATTGTAGGGGCGTTCCAGAATAGAACTGGGGATCTCACACACCCAAAGTGAGATTCATACCACTAGACCAAACACCCTTTGTTGAAGTCCCAATAAAATATTGTATTTGATACTATAATAATCTGTTAACTCTATCTCCATCTAATCAATATACATTTTGGTCCGGCTCGTGCTAATGTAAATATATATTTTCAACATACATCACGTGTATTTACTTTTTTTTTTATAAAAAAATCATATGATTTTTATGTATTTTTTAATTTTTCTTTTATTTTTAGTCCTACCTTTAAAAATTTTAACCAGCATTTGTCGCATTTTTAAAAAACTTTCCCTACAAGAAAATATTTTCTGACAAAATGTCAACAGTTATCAAGCCTTATTAGAAAATTTAGATTAAAATCAACTTAATTCCTAAAAAACCCTAAGCAATATGAAACAAAAATACAAAGTAAAAAGCAGTAGGAGTAGTTGTTAGTCTGATAATGTAAAAGATCTACAATGGATAGTCCATAAAATTCAGGAATCCAATGCAGTGAGGAGTCGATGATGAAATTAAGCAATAACGAGTTTGGCCACAAATATCGTTTGAGGATATCAGTCATATTCTTGTTAGAGTGGTCAGATCCGTCATAAAAATCCACAATATTGTCTAAAAGATCGAGATTGAGAAACAAAAGTCATTAGAAAGAAGAAGAGAGCCACACCCCTAATTTTGTATATTGATAAAAAAAATACATGAAGTACCAAAGTGAGAAAAAATGCAAACGTTAGGGGTACTACTGATAAAAAAATTTAAAGTACCAAAGTGATAAAACAAGAAAACGTGAAGGGGCAAATGGTGCATTAAGCCAAAGTAAATAAAAAGGAAAGAAAGTACAATTGGACAGGTCCAATCCAATCTTGAAAATGAACAAATTTTACCGATCAAGATTTCAATTTTTGCAACTACTAAAACTGATTACCGTTAGCAAAGTCTATTATAAATATGAATGAAATAAAACAAAGTTACAGAAAACGGAACATCAAACATTTCCTTCTCCAATTCCCCCATCGAGAGAGATGGATTTGCTCCCAATGAAGAACCCGCCAATGGCTTGAAGATGGTGAATATGGACTTAGATCAAGAGTTCGAACACCAACCCTTTGGTGCGGACTACGGCACACTCAACAATGGACTCACTTACTATGTTCGTTCTAATCCTAAACCCCGTTTGAGTGCCGCTCTCGCTCTGGCCTTAAAGTTGGGTTAGTCTCTCTTCCGCCTTTGCTTTCCTTCTCTGTTCTTGAATTTGAAACAAAAATTGATTGACTTAATCAAACACCTAACAATAACTAGCTTTCAAGTTTTATAGTAAATCTTTATAGAGAATAGTCAAGTATGCTGATTTTAATGGCGTTCTTGGCAGCTCAGTTTTGGAAGATGAAAATGAGCGCGGAGTTGCTCACATAGTTGAGCATCTTGCTTTTAGTGCTACTAAAAGATACACAAATCATGATATTGTGAAGTTTCTTGAGAGTATAGGAGCCGAGTTTGGTGCTTGTCAGACTGCGTTCACTTCTGCTGATGAGACGGTGTATGAGTTGTTTGTTCCTATTGATAAACCTGAGCTGTTGTCTCAGGCAATCTCGGTCTTGGCAGAATTTAGTTCAGAGGTATACAACTATCTCATTTTTTCCTTCATTCGGATACTATCTTCTAGTGTTTTCCTGTTTTTTCAATTTTGGTCATTTGGTTTATCTTCAATTTCTTGTTCAGATTCGAGTCTCCAAAGATGATATGGAAAAAGAAAGAGGGCCTGTTATTGAGGAATATAGAGGAAACAGAAATGCTAGTGGAAGGATGCAAGACGCACACTGGACTCTGATGATGGAAGGTTCCAAGGTATGTTCACTTATGTACTTTGTACACATCAGTTGTTGCATTAATTGATCTGTAAGGTCTTTAGAGTGGAGATCTTTACCCTACTCATTGCAGTGGTCGGATCTATTTATTTATCAAACCTTTAGCACTACTTCTGTATTAATTTTTATAATGGAGCTCAGCAAATGTTGTATCAGCAAGTGATGGGGATACGGATATTGTTCCATTCATTGTCTTCAGTGAAGTCCTTCCATTTCGCTTATTGGTCAGATTTGAGATTAAGCTGGAGTTTAAAGATTTAGGAGTAACATCATCAATATATTTTGGTTGGCATTCTAAATTGTGGGTTCTAATTTTATGTTGGGGTATTTTACATCTAAACCTCGGTTGATTACAATATGCTGGGCGCCTACCAATTGGATTGGAAAAGGTAATTCGAACAGTGTCTTGTGAAACTGTGAAACAGTTTTATAAAAAATGATACCATCTACACAATATGGCAGTGATAGCTGTTGGAGATTTTCATTATACACAGGTTAGTATTTATTTGTTAACACGACAGCTCTATTCTGAGTTACAGCATAATTCTGTTTATCAGTCAATATTGCTTAACAATCTCTCTATGTTTATCTCCCTCTCTCTCTCTCTCTCTCTCTTCTAGAGTGTTGTTGAGTTGATAAGGACTCATTTTGAGGAGAAAATTTCTGCACCTGACCCTCCAATAATACCATTATTTTCGGTTCCTTCTCATGAGGAGCCACGTTTTTCGTGTTTTGTGGAGTCCGAAGCTGCTGGGGCAAGTACACTTCAAGTCTTGAACTTATTTTAGCATATGACTTTGGAGGAAATTGACAAACCATAATTCTGCTTTTTTCTCATTGCCTTGTAAAAGTCAGCAGTGATGATTAGCTATAAGATGCCAGCGGATGAACTGAAGACAGTAAAAGACTACAGGGACATGCTTGTAGAGTCCATGTTTCTACATGCTCTGAATCAAAGGTTCTTTAAAATCTCTCGTGGAAAGGATCCACCATATTTCTCATGCTCTGCTGCCTCTGATGCTCTTGTTCGCCCCTTAAAAGCTTATATTATGAGCTCTGATTGTAAAGAAAAGGGGACTTTACGGGCCCTAGAATCAATGCTATTTGAGGTTTGCTATCCATTTTTTTATCTTTTGACTTGTATATTCTCCTTCCAGTTTCTGAATAATATCATGTTGTTGATGCACTTATCTTCAGGTTGCAAGGGTGTGACTTCACCGGTTTTCAGAGCGTGAAGTGTTAGTTGTTCGAGCTTTATTGATGTCGGAGATTGAATCTGCCTATTTGGAGCGTCATCAAATGCAATCAACTAGCTTACAATATGAATATATTCAGGTATATTATTAGAGTGGCTACAATCCTTTCCATTTATTTAACTTGAGGTTTGTGAATCCAGATAGACCCATTATCTTCTTTATTTTAATTTTGCAGCACTTTATCCACAATGAACCTGTTATTGGTATCGAGTATGAAGCTCAACTCCAAAAATCTATTTTGTCTTGTGAGTAAATAATTTCTTTAGTTATATAGAAATGAACAAGGTTCAATGTTATGTATATGCACTAATTATGATTTTTATGCATATATATATCTGCATCAGAGGTGTCCAAGTACGCAGAGAAATTACAAACATCATGCAGCTGTGTCCTAAAGACAATTGAACCTCAAGCTTCTGCTACAATTGATGACCTTAAAATTGTTGTTTCCAAGATCAACAATCTTGAGAAGGAAGGGAGCATTATCCCATGGGATGAGGAGTACATTCCTGAAGAAATTGTTAATGTGAAACCGGCTCCAGGGTAAAGATGGCCTTTCTACTTTTAAATGTCCTTGTATTCTATATTTGCAACTGTTTTACCTCGATAGCTATTTATTTTTCCTTTGAACTTTATTTTCTTTCAATCATAACGTGATTGGTTCTTTTGGTTCCTATCAGCAACTCAACTTTCCCTCTTTCGATGATTTATTAAACTGTTTTAAATGCTCTCTTTCATGAAAGATTGACTATTTGCTTCAGTTACTAAATTCTAAGTCCAATCTAATAATTCACTTCAGGCACATCGTATAGCAGAAAGAGTATTCAAATATTGGAGCCACTGAATTAACTCTATCAAATGGCATGCGGGTTTGCTATAAGTCCTTTGATCAACAGTACATATATTCATATTGTAAGCTAGTCGATCACAATGAACCAGGCTAATTACCTTTTGTATAGGGTAATATATAATTTCTATTGGCGTTCGTCAAATCTTTGTAACACGTAGTTGTAATTGTAGAGAGGTGGTACGCAGCCCCTTGGTAGAAGCACAATGTTCAGTCCAGCTATGCTTTCCTGTGGTTTTGAAGAATGGAACAATGGTGCGTGAGGCTTTTTTCTATTTATTTTTTCCTCTTACAGGTCCATATAATCTGGCAAAGGAATAAATTAGAATCTTGACTGACATTTTCTTTTATTTTGTGCACCTTGCTGTTGGAAACTAATATGGCAGGTAGAGGTAGAAGAGATTCAATGTGTCGGTTTCCTGTGCAAACTTATTGAAACAAAAATACTGCAGGTTCTTCGTTTTAAGTATGGGCAGGTATGCACTTCTCCTGAGATTTGTATTTATCTGTTTAATTATTCTTCGGGTAATGTTTTATAATCTCTCTTTATGTACCAGATTTACTCTGTACGTGTTTCTGTATTCCTTGGTGGCAATAAACCTTCTAGAACTGGCGATATTCGTGGAGATATGAGTATAAACTTTTTCTTGTGATCCAGAAATGTCCTCAAAGTTGGTATGTATCTCCCTTTCTATCTTTCCATGTTGTAGTGACTAAGTGGCAGCGATCTCACAAATTCTGCCGCTGAACAGGCTGATCTTGCTTTGGATGAAGTAGTACATCTTCAAGAAGAAGGGCCCACAGATCAGGATATTGCAACCATACTAGAAATTGACCAGAGAGCCC